CCCCAAAACCCCAAAACCCCAAAACCCCAAAACCCCAGATAAAAAAACACATACTGAACGGATTTTGGTTGCAAATTAAGAGCCCGATATCCAGTGGCTCATATATACAAATATCCTAAAGGCATGCAGTGAGGGAGAAACCCTCTCTATATTTTTCCTGAATATTTTTAGACAAGGATAAGCTATTATAGTGACCTTCTAAATTTTTTTGAAATTTCCCCAATTTTTGCCCTACCCTCTTTATTTTATCCTAGCCTTAAGCAGAATTCTGATTCAGAGAAATTCTCAGTACTCTAAGAACTATCCCATTGAAGCCGAATTATTTTCTCTAATTTCCCAGGCTTATTCAAATTAGGTGAAGAAGATTTTTAGTTAATAAAAAATTATTAAACTCATTTTCGGACTCTTTGAGCAAGAATTTACATTTGAATTTTCCACCCTAAGTAACATATCTAGGTGAATCAGGGATGACTATACCTAGTCTACCAATACTAGTATTAACAACAAGAGGGTGTCATAGAAATTACAGCAGAATTAGGACAGATTCTAATGCTCTAATACTTGAAACTCAGGTTGATAAACTCAGTAAATCGTACTATAAAGACTTGTATGATGAATAATTTTAGTATGAAATAATTAACTTAGACAGTAGGCGACTTCAGCCCTTTGAAGACATTCTCCTCTAGTATTTTACATTTGGAAGAAGTGAAGCAAGAACCAAGCCTTTTCTTGCTATACAGGATCTCACTAAGTAACTTCTTGTTCTTGTAGTTGTATGATGAGAGCTTTTTCATTTGGTTAGGTTCTATTTTCTCTATGGGTTTTGCTATGGTAGAGAGGCAGGAGGAAGAGTTGAGCTTCTTGATTTTAGTAGACTCACTTGCAGTACTAGAGCACTCGGTTTCGGATAGCTCATTGGGGTCAAAGAATTTTGTCTTTTTCAGTATAGATTTTCTTTTCTCTCATGTCATAGTTTTCTTAGTGACCAAAGTGTCCTTGGATTCCTCAAAATCGTAAATTTTCTCCAAATCGTCGGCCCAGTTGACATGGACTCTCCCATCTTCCTTAGGAGGAGTAATCTCGGTCCCGTCGTCTTCATAGTAATCTGCTTTTATCAGGTGCTTTTTCATAAGCCTTTTCCTGAAGTTTGGTCTGATTCTTGTCTTATCTTTCATATTTGGAAGAGATATTAATAGTATAATCCCTTTCAATAAATAGATCACCGGCTGGGGTTTTGGGGTTTTGGGGTTTTGGGGTTTTGGGGTTTTGGGG